CGTTTGAGGATGGGACGGACAGCCTCGACGGTCCTCAGGCCGGCCGACGGGCTCATTAGCCTAGCCCGCCATTCGATCCTGAGGATCCGCCGAAAGTCGGACCTCCGCGCTTCAATCTCATGACCAGCGGGTGCCTCCCCCACGGAACGTCGCTCCGCGCGCCAGTGGTACACTGACGCGTGGAGCTCCGCTACCAAGTCCCACGGAGGAGACCCCGCCAGCAGACCCGCCGCTTCCCCGGATATGGTGCGGTAGCCTCTAATAGCCCTGATGGCCATGGCCCTGTGTGGCCTGTTGAGACAGGCCACATTTTCCCTACCTAGGGCCCCCACCCAGATGGGGGCCCCGTACAGGGCCATGGACCGCACCACGCCGAGGTATAGGCGGCGGGAACCTTCTCCCGGGCCCCTCACGTTTGGCAGCAGCCAGCTAAGAGCGCCGGCGGCTGCCATAAGGCGAGGGACCAGGTTCCGGAAGTGAGCGCGGAAGCTCCAACGACTGTCCAGGTCAAGCCCCAAATACCTAATACAGGGCTTGACCCCCACCCTCTGGCCACTGACGACCAGCTGGGCATCCGGAGGTGGCGCGCGCCGAGGCCCATGAAAACATAGGACCTCGGTCTTCTCCAGCGCCACCTGGAGCCCAAGCCTCCTTATTCGGCCGACGACCAGTGCCACGCTTGCCGTGGCAAAGCGGGTAGCCTCCCGTAGGTCCCGCCCCCGGGCAGTGACCAAGGTGTCATCCGCGTAACACACGAGGTCAGTGCCCGTTAAAAGGGCGCCCCGCAGGTTCCAATCATACCCGATGTTCCACAGGATCGGGCCCAGAACCGACCCCTGTGGAACACCGCGTTGCATGTCCCTCGGCACTACAACGCCGTTTCGCCCCGTGCATAGCACCGACCTGTCTTCGAGATAGGCCCCGATCACGTCCCGAATGTAGGGAGGCGCGCGATGGTACTTCAGCGCCTCCCTAATAGTCGCAAAGGGCAGGGTGTTGAAGGCGTTCTTAATGTCTAGAGAGACCGCCAACAACACCCCACCCTGGGACGTCGCCTCTTCCGAGAGGGAGCGCACACGCGAGATCGCGTCGATCGTCGAGCGCCCCTCTCGGAACCCGAACTGCTTCGGGCTGAGATCGGGACCTACCTGGGACAGGTGTTGGACGAGTCGGCCCGCCAAGATTCGCTCGAAGAGCTTGCCGATCTCGTCCAACAGCACTATGGGGCGGAACGCCGAGGGAACCACCGAACCTGCGGGGTGCTCCGCTTTGCGGAGCAGGACCACTCTACCCGCTTTCCACTGATTGGGAAACCGTCCCGACTCCAGACACGCATTGAACAAGCGCCGGAGTCGGTCCCCTAGGGTGTTTAGGGCCAAGGCCAGGACGCGGCCGTGGATACCATCCGGACCCGGGGCGACATTCTTGCCCCGGAGTTTATCCACGGCCGCGGCGAACTCCTCCTCGGTGATGGTAGGAACCGCAGCAGCGCTGACGCCGCTGGCCTCTCCATCACTGCCACGCGGCATCATCGGAGGAGGTGTGAAGGGAGGCTGTCTCGGGAACAGCTCCTCCAACACCCCCTCCAACTGCTGCGGCTGGAGACCCTCTGCCACGGGGGGCGCCCAGGGGCGTAATTTGCCCCTGACGAACCTATAAGGACGCCCCCATGGATCCCTGTCCAGGGTCTCCAGGAGTTCTTCCCTGGCTGTCTCCTTGGCCCTGCTGATGGACAGCTGCAGAGCTTTCTTCCTCTCTTTGTACTGCTCGTACAGCTGTGCTTCCTCGTCGGCGTCGCGGCCCCGCCTGAGTCGGCGGTGCCTGGTGTACCGGCGGCGGGCGGCGGAGCACTCCTCCCTCAACGCCGCTATCTCCTCCGACCACCAGTACACCTGACGCCTAGGAGGTCGAGGGCCGGCTCGGGGCATCGCCGCGTCGCAGATGTGCGACAGAGCCTCGCCGAACCAGCCCACCTCTGCGTCGACCTCCACAGGCCCCTCCGGCATGGGAACCCAGGCCTGGACGATGGAAGCCTCCATCAGCACGTCTTTATTCAGACGTTTCAACACCCATCTGGGGAGTTGTGGGACATTCCTCTCCTGGCGACCGGGGTGCGGAGCTACGGGTGAGGGGAGAACGTCTATCCGAATGTAACGATGATCGGATAGCGTCTCCACCTCATCCAACACCTGCCAGCTCCGCACCCTCTGTGCGATCGCTGGACTGCAGAGGGAGACGTCGACATGCGACTCCCCCTGCTGTCTCACGCACGTGGCGGCCGACCCTTGGTTCAACACCACCAGGCCGGCCGCGGCCGCCCAGTCTTCCAGGACCCTGCCTCGAGAGTCGGTGATGGGGGAGCCCGCCATGCCGTGGATTTGGCATTGAAGTCCCCCATCACCATCATTGGACGGGCCGAGTATAGCTCCAGAGCGGCCCCCAGCCCGTCCATGAACTGCTCGAACTCGGCGAGAGTCCTGTTCGGAGAGAAGTATGTCCCGACAACGACGGTTTCCCCCCAACTCACTCCTATGTACCCCGCTCCGCCGAATAGGCGGCTGACGAGCGGAGTCGCGGGGTTGCCCGCGCCGACAATGGCCACCAGGCCAGAGGGGTCGCCGAACCAATGGTCACTTCGTGGGACACGATATGGTTCGGCGACCACTGCAAGGTCAACTCCCCACTGCGCCGCGCTCTGCAGAAGCAGATCTTGGGCGCGCGCGCAGTGGTTGAGATTCCCCTGCAGGAGGCGATGGACTGCCATTATTGACCAGTGTCCATCACCTCAGCCTCTCCCCGGCGGCCATTGCCGCGGGCCGACGACAGTGCGGATCCCCTCGATCTCTTGGACCGGGATTGGGGGCACTTTTTGGCCCCCACCCGGTGGTCTGCTGGGCGACCCGCCGCTGCGCAAACTACGCAGTGTGGGGCCGCCGAACATCCGGCCGCTTTGTGGCCGGGAACCCCACACCGGTAGCACAAGCCACTCCGGTCCTCCTCGTGCGAGCACCTGGCCAGCACGTGCCCGCTTTCGAGGCACCGGAAGCACCGGAGTGGCTTCTGCCGCAGCAGTTCCACAGCGGCTGAGACCCAGCCGATCCGGATCCGCCCTGCCGTCGTCACTTTCTTGACCGCGGCCAATGGGGCCCGCACCCAGCAGGTGCCCAGGCCCGACGCGCCGCGCCGAATCGCCCCGACATTGACGGCGTCCGCCGTGCACTCGCCGTGCTGTGCCACGGCGGCCGCCACCTCTTCCCGGTCGGTACCGTCATCCAGGCCCATGACCCTCATCTCTGCGGTCTTGGTGGGCCTGGCGATGCGGACCGTACCTTCCGGGAAGACGTCCCGGAACTTCGACGCGAGCGCGTCGGCCTGGTCTCCCGTCTGGGACCCTGGGATCTCCAGGATCCGGGCCCCAGTAGCCGCGGTCTTGAAGCGCAGGCTTCCTATCCCCAAGGAGGCGAGGGCGATCTTATCCTTCGCCTCCTTGAGGACAGCGGAGTAAGTCACTCCCGCCGCTTCTGCCTCCGGACACAATGTAACGACCACAGCCGCCGATCGCGGCGCACGCAACTTCGATGGCGACGGCGGGGCCGGCTTAGCCTTCTTCCCCTGAGAGGGAGCCCCAGAGGTCCCCCGAGTACTCTGAGTACTCTGGGTCTGCCTCTCAGAGACGTTGCGGTTTTTGCCGCCCCGTCGCACCACCGTGCTCCAACCTTCGTTTGCGCGCCCCGCGCCCGACGGCCCCGGCCGTTGACTGCCAGAGGCAGGCCGGCTGGCGGGTTGACTCGCCGGAAGCGGCGGGAATTCCGCACCTCGCGCCCCCCCGCAGATGGGGAGCGTCTCTGTAGCCCGGTCCCCCTGCACCGGGGAGCCGGGACAATAACTCGTACTGCCCGTCGCTTCGCAGCGGCGGGCGGTGTTCAGGGCGGATTGATGCCGCCGGGGAGCTGATGCCCAGGGCAGCCTTGATTTCCCGGATGCCCTTCTCTATTTGGGCACCGATACGGGCATCAATCAGCTCCCCGGTCGCCCTCATAATATCCGCCCTGAAGGCCCCGACTTCATCCGGCTCGGGGTCGGGCCAGGGGGTGCCCTCACCCTCGCAGGCTCCTGTGGTGCCTGGCAAGCGGCTGAAGGGGTTTGCGGCCCCGACCTCGCCGCGAGTTGCCGCATCTGCGCTTGGAGCGCCTGGAGTTGGCTTCGGAGCTCCTTATTCTCCTTACGGAGCTCCTCCACCTGTCCTTCCAACTTCCGGCGCTCGACGGCACCCGCGGTGAAGTCCTTGTTGACGACGGCACTGCTGTCCAGCTCCTCTGCCATCATCAACACGGAGCCGATGGACTCCTTCAGCCGCTTCTGGTCGGCCCCCTTCAGGTTCCCACACCTGTAGACCGTCTCCAAGGCAGCCCCCAGCTTCTTCTGGGCCTCCGTCCTGAAGACGGCAACAGGCTGCAGGTCATCCTTAGGGGGGGCCTTCCCCTTCCCCACAGGGACCCCCGAGGGACGGACAAACGTCCCGTCATCTCCCCGTTTCTCCTGCCGCCGGGACTTCGGCGACATGGCCGGACTCTCCGGGCCCACAGGCACCATCAGAACCACCCCGGTCCCGGGCGACGGGCAGGGGATCTTCGACGGCTTGGCACTCCCGCCCGCCGCCCCGGAAGGGCCCGGTCCATCCGCGTGCGGCCGCTTCGGCACGGCCGTTTTCGTGAGCCCGTCTTCGATCGACACCAGGCACCCGGACATCTCGTCCTCCACCAGCATCGAGCGCGTCGAGCGCGTAGAGCGCGTCGACGACGCTGAGGAAGGCCGAGATGCCCGCGACCTGGCCCGCGAGACGGGCCGCGACCTCGCCAACCGCACCGTGTCGGCGTCCGCTAGCGTGATGGAGTCCGACATGGACCAAAACGCTAAGTCCCGGGGCAGGGACAAACACTCCTCGTCCCCCCCAGCGGGGGACGGGAAAAGGAAGGGGCTGCTACCACCAGCCAACTTCCTCAACCCGACAACAAAGGGGTCACGCCCGACCTAAGTCGGGCGGGTACAATGGAGGCTTGCGCCTCCACAAACTGCTCCAGGGTTTCCCCTGGAGCGGGCGCACTAGGCAGAATTAGACCCTGCTCAGTGCAGCCACTCCCGGTGAACACCACACCGCCACCTCAGCACAATAAAAGAAAAAGAAAAGAACAAGAATCAAACTTAACCTAACTTAACCTAACTAACTATGCTAACCTAACTATATATACAAACCTAACTATATATATACAAACTTAACCTAACCAATCAATAAAAGAAAAGAAAAAAGAAAAACACTAAAGAAAAAACAGATTACACAAAAACACTACAATAGTTGCGCCAAAAACCAATTATTACTTTCTATTGCTCAAAAAAATGTGGTCAAGTTGTGCCTTAACCATTTTGTGTGTTCCATCCTTGTCAAGGGGAGTGCTAACCGTCTCTCCTTTCAATAGACACACACACGCCCCAACCTAACCTAACCTAACCTAACCTAACCTTTTTTTTTTTTTTTTTTTTTTTTTTTTTTTTTTTTTTTTCACGTCAGGAAAATCCATCATGGAGAACCATTCCCTTAGGGAAGAATGGATACTGCCGGACTCCTACCTGCTAAAAACCTGACGACTGTTCCTCCTCGACATAATCGCCGTGGCCATGGGATACGCAAAGCATTCACCAAGACCACCGGCATGGTTCCCATCGAAGGGACCTTTCCATCTAGGCGTGCAGGGAACAGTCTCTGCACGCCACCTCCAGACCCTAATGCCTCCCCGGTGAGCTTCGGATTGCCCTAACAATCCTCCACCCTAGGGTCAAATATGGAGTCGATGCCCACCTGATTTTACTCAGGTGTCCATCGACTCCCCCCCCCCACCTGTGGCCTGCGCCGCGGCGCGGGCCTTGGGCGGGCGACACTGCTTTGTGACGCCCACTCTATGGTCGGACTTGCGACCCGCCGCGGCACAGTACCGACAGTTCGGTGATGGCGCGGCGCACCGTGCGGCCTTGTGGCCGGGCTCGCTGCAGCGGAAACATATTCCGCTGCTATCTTGCTCGGCGGTGCATCGCAGGCCCACATGCCCTGTGAGCAAGCAGCGATAGCACCGCTGCGGCCTCGGGTCCAAGGACTGCACCCGCGCCACCATCCACCCTATTCTCAGTCGGCCGGCCTCGACCAACTTCTTCGCGGCGGCTACCGGACACCGCACCCAGATGGAACCCGTACCCTGCGCATTGCGCCTAATCTCGCCGGTTTTCACCGCGGATTCCCTGCACTCCCCTTCGCGCATGACAGCGACGACGACGTCGGCTACCGACACCGAGTCGTCCAGGTCAACGATCCGCAGCTCAGCCGACTTGACTGGTCTCGTGACCCGGACGTCCTCGTGTAGGACCTCCTCAATTTTGGCAGCCAACGCGTCCGCTGCCTCGCCTGTATTGGTGCCGGGAATCTCGAGGATACGGGCCCCGGTCCGTCCGACTCTGAACCTCAGGTCGGTGATACCGAGCGGCGCCAAAGATATTTTGGCCTTCGCCTCGGTGAGCACCGACATGTAGGTGACGCCCCTCTCCTCGGCTCCCGGCGTCATGGTCAATACCACTGCCGATGACCGAGGGGGGCGTACTTTCACCTTTCTCCTCCGTTTGGACCTCTGGGGTTCCTCCGTGTGGCCGCCGCGTGGCCCCTTCGCAGGCTGCGTTTTGGCGGAAGCTGCCTGGCTTGCGCCAGCGCCTTTTCGCTTCCCGCGTCGCACAACCGTCGACCAGCTCTCAGCGTTTGCTGTCGATGTCGACGGCTGTGGGACGCGTCCACCACTAGGGTCCCGGGTCTGCTGGGCCCTGATGTTCCCTGTACCGGATGATCCGGCAGTAGGCGCACTCTTGGCCTTTGTTGGCCGTCTTCGTTTCGCCGAGATTCGTTCCTCCATCTCGGCGAAACGGCTCTCCATCATCTCGCCTACTCGCCGGATGATCCGGTCTTCGGCGTCCTCTCTTAGAACCCGGGGCGGGGCACTTTCCGGCACAGTCGCCGTCTTTCCGCCGACTACGACTGCAGGAAGTTCAGCTGCAGTCTTTAGCCGCTCGACCTCTTGGAGGGCCTTTTGTAGGGCGCGACGGTCTAGAGCGTTCAGTTGCTTTAGCTCCTCAAGCTTCTGAACGCTCTCCCGCGTCTGCCGCTCCCACCCCTCTCGCTCCGCCTTGAGCAGGGCTAGTTCCTCGGCCACTGCGGCGGAGGACTGCGACGCCATGCGGAGTTCGCGGAATTTCTTCCGCTCCTCCACGGCCTCCTTGAGCATGGCCCTCTTCACCTCCTGCACGGCCTCAAGTTCGGCGCGCAACTTGTGGACCTCTCGCCTAAGGGAGTCTTCGTCGGAGGACCCGGACCTCGCCTTCAGGATATCCGTGGCCGCGCAGATGGAATGCACGGCGGTCTTGATCTCCCGAATCACTGTGCCCTTCAGGTTGCTCGACTTCCTGACAGCGGCGAGCACCTGTTGGGCACTGCTCCCTATCTTGGCTCCCAGCTCATCGGAGCCTAACAAGATGTCCTCCTCGGACGCTTTGCGGGCAGCGGCAGCTGCAGACCCGGAGGACTCGGCTTCGGACGCCGAAGCCCCTGTCTCCATCCGGGATGCAGGCGTGGCCGTCCGCGCTCCTCTCTTGGCTCCCCTGGCCCGACTCGACCTGGACCCGGTCGAGGCAACCTCCACCAGGTCTACCTCGTCGTCGTCGGAGTCCAACTCCCGGCGCCTCTCTACAATCCGCCGTTTGCGGTGTTTCTTGGGCGGCGAGGTACTCCCTCTCGCCGGCCCAAGGCTGTCCTCCGATCTTATGGACAGCGATGACCCTGTCCGTTCGGAGTCCATATGCGCCTCCCTGTCGAGAGCTTCGAGAGCCTCCAGCTCTTCCAGGATCTCGACCCTGCGCGTCATCTCCCGCCTGCACATTTCGTCATAGCTGGTCGTGTCCCCCCCAGAATACGTGGGACAGTCCACCCCCGGCAAATCCGGTGCGGTGGAGGAGGATTCTCCGGTCGCTGAGCGACCGGTACCTCCCTGGGGTAATTTCTCTTTGCGAGCAGCCATGGTCCATGTTGTTCCTTTTTACGGGTGTGGTCCCGGTCTCCCACGAACGAAACGAAAACGAAAACAAAACAAAAAGACAGAAAAGAACAAAGATAGAAAAAGACAGAGGACAACCAAAAATAAATAAAACCAAAATAAATAAAACCAAAAATAAAAGAAGATGAACAAACCAAAAAATGAAGACGAACAACAACCAAAAATAAAAACGAAGAGAAAGTTGGGGGGGGTTCGCCGGCTCCGGCAGCCTCGACTTTGTCGAGGCATGGGAAACCGCGAACACGCCCAACCTGCCGGGCTACTGGCCGACATAGTAGCCGTATCCCGAAGGAACGACTACTATCCCGCCCGGGGCGTACCAGAACCAAACCATTGCTCGGCCACCGTTCCCCGCGGACGTATCCACGAGGATGGGGAAGCCTCCCAATGGCAGGCCCATACTAGGAGGTTGCCCGACCACACGCCCCAACCTTTTTTTTTTTTTTTTTTGACTTGGAGAAAATCCCTCATGGAGACCCGCCGGCCCCGGACGAAGCCCGCAGGTACTGTGACACTCCTACTCACTAAAAACTCCAAGATGTCCCTCACCCAACGCCTATGTCGGAGTCGCGGGATCGATAACAGTCAACCGCAACTCCGATGGCGGTGGCCCACTCTAGCAGCGGGCCCATCTCTGCGGGTTCCCTATTGGAACCCACTACTTCCCCTCCTCTTCCCTGGGTAAGGCGCGCGGGGACATGCGCGACACTTCTTCGGGCCTAGTGTGGTGGGGTGGAACCGCCCCCGCGGTCGTCACCCCGGCCCGGTAGCGATCTAGGGGCGACTTGGGCCGCCCCTGCCTCCTGATCGCTAGGAGGGGAGCTGGTGTCCATCCCCTCCTCGTTCCTGCTACCACGACCTGGTGCCTGAGAGGCGGGCCGTGTCAATCCCTTCCTCTTGGGCGGGGTGCACTTCTTGCTCCCCACCCAATGGTCCGCCGGCCGACCCAGTGATGCGCAAATTGCACACTTCGGGGCCGCGGCGCACACTGCGGCTTTGTGCCCATTTTCTCCGCACCGGTAACAGAGCCCGCTGCGGTCCTCCTTTTGGGTGCACTGCCCTCTCACATGCCCATTTTGTAGGCACCGGAAGCACCGCAGTGGTCTTTGCCGCAGTAGCTCCGCCTTCGCTGACACCCACCCAAGGCGGATGTGCCCCTCCGTGGTGACCTTCTTCACCGACATCACCGGGCCGCGAACCCAGCATGACCCCAGGGATTTGGGGCTGCTTTTGCGAATGTCGCCGACCTTCACATCCTCCGCAAGACATTCTCCGTTGCGCGCAATGGCGGCGGCGATCTCCTGCGGCGTCACTGAGTCGTCCAGACCCATGATCCGCATTTCCGCGGTTTTGGTGGGTCTGGAGACCCTGGCCACGTCCTCCGGGATTAGGTCCCGGAGTTTTGACGCAAGTGCGTCGGCCTTCTCGCCGCTGGCGACACCGGATATCTCCAAAATCCGCCCCCTGTTATTGCGGTCCTGAGCCGCAAGCCCTCTATTTCGAGGGGGCGGAGATCGATCCTGTCTTTTGCCTCGCGGAGGATGTTGGCGTAGGTGACGCCTTCTTTTTCCGCCGCTTCGTCAACCGTTATAACCACCGCCGCAGAGCGGGGCGGCCTTAACTTCGAAGGAAGCGGCGGACCCACCTTCTTGTTGGGCGCCGGCTTCGCCTTCCCCTTTGCTGCCTTTTGGTTGGCAGTGACCTCCTCTTGATCTCCGGGAACCGATGTCAATTTGCCCCGACTTCCCTTTACCACCGTCGCCCACGAAGAGCAACCGGCAGCAGGTTGACTGGCTGGGGTAGCCGGAGATTCAGTCACTGGGGTTTTTGGCTGCCCCTGAGACGCTGCTTTACGCGCCTTCTTTGACTTGGCCTTGGAACCACTCTTTTGGCCTTGAGGATCAGGTACTCGATCTCCTACGCTGGATGCAGGCTGCGAGACCACTGCATCCTTGGGCTGGGCCGAGTCTGGCGCCACTGGTGCGGCTTGGACATCTCTTGGAAGGGGGGAATTTATCATCCCCTTAACCTCCTCCATAAACTGGCCCATCTTCTTGTCCATTATAGTGCGGACTGCACCGCCTACGTCTCTCAGTATTTGAGCCCTAAAGGAGCTCAGCTCAGACCCCGACAGGGGAAGCCCATCACCCTGGGGAGCGTCCGTCTTCTTGGCCGGTCCTGCCGCTTTTGCGGAGCGGATCTCGGCGACCTCCTTACGGAGTTCTCCCACCTCTTGCTGAAGCCGGAGGTTCCGGACCATCAGGGACGTGACTGAGCTTGGGATGGAGTCACCCTGAAGGGTACTCATAACTTTGTTGATCCCGCTCAGTCCCTCCTTCATAGACTTAATGAAGGTCCCCTTCAGGTTTCCGGACCTCCGGATCGCGTCTTCAATGGCAGCCGTGTGGTCGAGGACCGCAAGTCGGACCCTGCGGATGACCTCGGCAGCCTCCTCATTTCGCGCATCTTTTCCACCGTCGAAGAACTCGTAGCGGAAGGCTTCGAGTTCTTTTCTTTTCTGCGCCGACACCCGAGACTTGGGGCCAGCTGCTTTCTTTTTCCCCTCCTTGATAGGTGGGCCGCTTTCCGCCGCCGACGTGTCAGATTTGGCCTCCGAGAGACGCCTTTTGCGCCCTGGAGGCAACATTTCGTCCATGTCCATGTCTGACAGGCCTGTGCACGAGCTCGCCCGCGAAGAATCGCAGTCGATCCCGCGAACAGTCCTGGATCTTGTCCTCCGGCTTCGCTGTTCTGCCGCTATGTTTATCCTGGCCCAGTGTTCTAGATCCGGGATTTCCCGGCTAGGGCCAGCCTCCTCCAAATCACTGCGGTCACTCCTGGTCAACACCACCGCACACTCCTTCATTTGTACGCCGTCCTTCGCGGACCCCCTCTGCACGACGTCCTTCTCGGACACTACCATCACGCCGTCCGTCACGGACCCAGACATCACTCCGTCCTTCTCAGACCTATCCTCATTTTGGTTTTTTGTTAAAGCATCCATATTAAGTCCCACGAGTATGGGGGAACGGTTGCACAGCCGGCGTTGCCCCCTGCTACCGACTGCGGCCTAATACTCTTTGGGTGCGGCTGGTGCCCAAAGGTTGGTGCCCTTGCGGCCGGAGTTACTCCTCCGACCCGGACGCCCCGGGGAACACGCTAACTGAAATGAATTTCAACAGCGTGCGCCACAGGACGCCCTGTCCCTCGCCGGGCACCGAGCTTAAACAAAAGGTTTTTTATAGAGGTTGGCTCCTCGCAGCCCCGGGCGGTTAAGCCAAGAGTCCCCGCTCTTACACCGGGTCGATAGACGTGATCACCGACACCCAATGGAGGTTTACGGTTTGAAGCCAGTTGCACCGAAGTGCTGTCCGGCTGCGCAGTTAAGCACCCACCGGACCTGACTTGTCAGTAGGCAAAGACGAAAAAGAAGAAAAGAAAACAGAGTTACAGAAAAGAGACGAAGAAAGAAAAGACAAAGACGAAAACAGAAAAGACAAAAGAGGTGCCTACTCCTACTCGCCGGACTATCGGCCGACATAGTAGCCGTATCCCGAAGGAACGACTACTATCCCGCCCGGGGCGTACCAGAACCAAACCATTGCTCGGCCACCATTCCCCGCGGACGTATCCACGAGGATGGGGAAGCCTCCCAATGGCAGGCCCATACTTGGAGGTTGCCCGACTCACGCCCCAACCTAACCTAACCTTTTTTTTTTTTTTTTTTTTTAACGTGTGGAAAAATCTTCAAAAGACCGTCACCCCGCCGGAGGGATGGCGAGGTGGTGTGTGGGTCTTGTACCCACTAAAAAACCACACGGTGTACCTACGAGCGCCTATGCCGGAGCCAGGGGATTCGCAAGTGCATTCTACCCCAGCTCCGACGGCGACGGCCCGCCCTGTAGATGTTGTAGGGCAGGCCCCATCTCGTTTTGTGGTTAGGGCGACCTATTTCGCCCTACTCCATTGTGGAGGCGTGTGGGTACACGCGCACACCTCCGGGGCCTTTGGATTGGGGGGACTGCCTCCCTCAAGGCAGTCACCCCGGCCCCAGTGGGGGATAGAGGGGGACGGAGTTGGATACGCTCCCACCTCTAGGCCTGGCTCTTCTGCGGCGGAGGGAAGCGGGACGAGCTGACTCCCGCTCCCTTTCCGCCGCCTCCTTCCGCGAGATAACTTCCTCGCAGAAGGAGCTCACCGCCAGCCACGATCTCTCGCTACTGACCATCCTCCGAACTAAATTCGGCAGCGAGAGATCGTCCCCCACTATTCGTGTGAGGACACGGCGCTCACTCTCAAACGCTGGACATATTTCCAGCGTGTGTTGCGCCGTGTCCTCTACACCTCCGCATTCGTGGCAGCCGGTCGTCGGCTCCTTCCTCGCCACATGACACAGATACCGCCCAAAGCAGCCGTGCCCGGACAGTATCTGTGTCATGCGGTACGTCAGTGGCCATCTCCTATTCATCCACCGTTTGAGGATGGGACGGACAGCCTCGACGGTCCTCAGGCCGGCCGGACGGGCTCATCAACCTCGCCCGCCATTCGATCCTGAGGATCCGCCGAACGTCGGACCTCCGCGCTTCGGTCTCGTGACCAGCGGGTGCCTCCCCATGGAACGTCGCTCCGCGCGCCAGTGATACACTGACGCGTGGAGCTCCGCTACCAAGTCCCACGGAGGAGACCCCGCCAGCAGACCCGCCGCTTCCCCGGATATGGTGCGGTAGCCTCTTATGGCCCGTATGGCCATGACCCTGTGTGGCCTGTTGAGGCAGGCCACATTTTCCCTACCAAGGGCCCCCACCCAGATGGGGGCCCCGTACAGGGCCATGGACCGCACCACGCCGAGGTATAGGCGGCGGGAACCTTCTCCCGGGCCCCTCACGTTTGGCAGCAGCCAGCTAAGAGCGCCGGCGGCTGCCATAAGGCGAGGGACCAGGTTCCGGAAATGAGCGCGGAAGCTCCAACGGCTGTCCAGGTCAAGCCCCAAATACCTAATACAGGGCTTGACCCCCACCCTCTGGCCACTGACGACCAGCTGGGCATCCGGAGGTGGCGCGCGCCGAGGCCCATGAAAACATAGGACCTCGGTCTTCTCCAGCGCCACCTGGAGCCCAAGCCTCCTTATTCGGCCGACGACCAGTGCCACGCTTGCCGTGGCAAAGCGGGTAGCTTCCCGTAGGTCCCGCCCCCGGGCAGTGACCAAGGTGTCATCCGCGTAACACACGAGGTCAGTGCCCGTTAAACGGGCGCCCCGCAGGTTCCAATCATACCCGATGTTCCACAGGATCGGGCCCAGAACCGATCCCTGTGGAACACCGCGTTGCATTTCCCTCGACACTACAACGCTGTTCCGCCCCGTGCAGAGCACAGACCTGTCTTCGAGATAGGCCCCGATCACGTCCCGAATGTAGGGAGGCGCGCGATGGTACTGCAGCGCCTCCCTAATAGTCGCAAAGGGCAGGGTGTTGAAGGCGTTCTTAATGTCTAGAGAGACCGCCAACAACACCCCACCCTGGGACGTCGCCTCTTCCGAGAGGGAGCGCACACGCGAGATCGCGTCAATCGTTGAGCGCCCCTCTCGGAACCCGAACTGCTTCGGGCTGAGATCGGGACCTACCTGAGACAGGTGTTGGACGAGTCGGCCCGCCAAGATTCTCTCGAAGAGCTTGCCGATCTCGTCCAACAGCACTATGGGGAGGAACGCCGAGGGAACCACCGAACCTGCAGGGTGCTCCGCTTTGCGGAGCAGGACCACTCTACCCGCTTTCCACTGATTGGGAAACCGTCCCGACTCCAGACACGCGTTGAACAAGCGCCGGAGTCGGTCCCCTAGGGTGTTTAGGGCCAAGGCCAGGACGCGGCCGTGGATGCCATCCGGACCCGGGGCGACGTTCTTGCCCCGGAGTTTATCCACGGCCGCGGCGAACTCCTCCTCGGTGATGGCAGGAACCGCAGCAGCGCTGACGCCGCTGGCCTCTCCATCACTGCCACGCGGCATCATCGGAGGAGGTGTGAAGGGAGGCTGTCTCGGGAACAGCTCCTCCAACACCTCCTCCAGCTGCTGCGGTTGGAGACCCTCTGCCACGGGGGCGCCCAGGGGCGTAATTTGCCCCTGACGAACCTATAAGGTCGCCCCCATGGATCCCTGTCCAGGGTCTCCAGGAGTTCTTCCCTGGCTGTCTCCTTGGCCCTGCTGATGGACAGCTGCAGAGCTTTCTTCCTCTCTTTGTACGGCTCGTACAGCTGTGCTTCCTCGTCGGCGTCGCGGCCCCGCCTGAGTCGGCGGTGCCTGGTGTACCGGCGGCGGGCGGCGGAGCATTCCTCTCTC